GCAACCATAGAAATGTATTTATGTATAAACATTCATATAATTTTTGTATTAGAAAATTAGACATGGCATAGATAAATTACCTGAAATTTCCTCTTGATAGATGGTGGGCACCGGTTTGGTCTCTTCACTAAAACGGATCTTCAGGTTGGCCATGAACTTGTCAACATGGATCTTTGCATCGTCAGCAACGTGGTTATGGATGTTCTTATAAGCTGTGATCACGCCGTTGTAGGTGTTGAGTGTGGCGTGACAGGTTTCCATACAACAACGCCAGTAGACTCTATCTTCTTTCCTATTTTTAACCCTGAATTTATATCCACCATATAATAAATTCTTCCCGCCTTGACCGTTAGGAATCTAACTGAATGCTACTTGTGCGTTTGCCATGACTGCACTGCCAATTTGTGGGATTCATCAATTTTGGGGGGACACCTATGCCGGTAGTGCTAGCACCCTACAACTGTTGCCAATAGACGAAATGGATTTCCATAAAACAGTTTCAAACTCTTTAGGGCTTGCCGAAAATCTTAAGATCAACTTCTGGATTTTGTCATCCAGATATTGCCAAATGATCTGAGATCCTATTCCAATGCATTCCAACGTGTGCTGGAACCTATACAATATCGCATGCTGAGTACTTCGTGTTTAGACATTTATCCAATTCTAATATCTCATAAACAAAGTCAACTCTGGGTCAATGCGCACTAGCTTCTATAGCGTTTATTGCTGCCATGGAATCTCTGAAGATACTTGCTTCATAGTCATGTTAATCGACCCATCTCAGGGCGTGCAAGCACCCCAAACCAACATTATGCACACCTTCAATGTTTTCTGTCCTGAAACTTTGATTATCTTCCGATACAAGATTCCATTGGGTACAAAGGCAAAAGAGTGGTGTGGAACACCATTTGGGCAAGCCCAAAGGTTGGATGTAAGAAATATGGAGATAATTGCAGAGAGTTTTAAAGCATTTCAGCTGGTAAGTTCAGAAGAGTAGGGTTTTGAATAAAAGCGTCAAACCTCTTTCAATATTCACAGGAAATAAGCAAACATGCAAAAGTATAACGTACTCTAAAAATCATGAATCGGATATTCGCTGACAAATCACAAGACCGATGAACCAAGTAAAAAAACTACAGAATTGTGAAGCAGCAGTAAACACGTAAAGTTTGACAGAAATTGGATTAGCTATTGTGGACCAACAGGGCGAATATGTCTTTTGACATGAATCTAACCCCAATGGCTGTCGTCTGTCCGCATCTGTCTTTGTGCGTGCTTTTGGAGCAATATGTTACCATTCCAGCTGCCAACAGAGTTACTCCATCAACTCAGCTCCGGTTTGACTTCATTAGTCAAGTGCAGCTGAAACAGGATTTCGTTGTTGCCGACAGTCCATTCTGCTCATGACATTAGTTTCCCTGGCAACACAGCACGCCAGAGTGACATACACAAACCAGCACCTTGCGCTAATGTTCCAGCCCCAATTCCCCTTAGAAATCTAGACAAGTCATGTCTCAATTAATGTAGTATGCATTTTGGTACTGCTAAGGGGCACTCCAGAGGCACAACTGAGCATCCAAGAAATTCTCTCTCGTCCTCTGGATTGAGGGATGATTTGGCGCTGATTAATCGCCAACCTAAAATCCCCAATTAACTCAGTACAGTATCTCGACAGGCATATATATATGCAGGTGGCGCTGAAAGCTAGTGGTCATCAACAAATGAAGTTACCCTGAAGACTACTGATCTTGCGTGGATCACCATTTCAAGTGTTGTCTTTTATGAAATACTACGGGCTTATTTTCAGTCCAAATGGCAGAACAGCCTATTCCTAATAGTGATCTCTGGAACTCCTTGAATACGAATAGGAAAATACATATGGTAAAACCCAGTCTTTAAATACTATGTGATCATATGATCACCAACTTCTATGACATGTTTTGGGTGCGAGATATTTTCATATCTAAATGAGACTGTTCAATTGTCTGTAATCAGTACTGGACCAGTGTGAAACCTTTTTCATCAACGCATCACAGCTGTGCAATACATTTTGGATCTTGTCATTTCTTCCTATAGCACCGGTTTGAAGCAAATATTTCATTTCAGAGTCAGGTAAACTTGTTTTCAGAACAGGTGTAACACCTTTCCACTTATACAAGACAAAACGAAGTAAAGTGGACTCACAAACCATGTCATTTCAGAACACATTTGACAAGTATCCCCGAGATCACCCCAAAACATCAATACGTGACGCTGTGTGCTTGGTGTCAACTGTCGACTGTTCAAGCACGTTTTGAGTTGCCCAGTAGTATCAGCTACCTGTAGGGCAGGATATGCTTAAATTTTTCGCGAGCATCTGCATGACTTATTTTTAGCATTCCATTCATATAATTCTCAACGCTGTTTTGTCGGATAATCTGATTGTTCTCTGGCATTGACGTTTTACGCATTCTAACAAAACCATTTGCCTGCTCCTTGTTAATATCCAATATTAGCCTGCATGAGTCATGACCATAGTCAAAAACAAAGGCATATGTGAGATTTATTATGATTAATTTATAAACAGAAATCATTTTCGATGAATTAGAATGAAAATGCATTGTAATGCCGATTGCATTCTCCGCAGTACACAAAGTAAAAGTCAAGGGCTCCAAATTAAAAATTACACAAATCAGAGTTCATTGAAATAGTGCATGACGAGTCCATTAATGACAGTAGTCAGGTAGCACGTCAACACACGCCTCCTCGTTGACGTCGTCAGTCGGCGGATAACGTCAACAGGAATCCTGTTCCATAAGTTCAATAGAGTCCTGTCGGTTCGCTGGAATCGGTACATGTTGTCTCAGCTGACGATCAAGATGATCCCTGAGATGTTCAATGGGGTTCATGTCTGGAGAACAAGGTGGCCAGGGCAATACGTTGACGTTAACGTTGTTCAGGTAGTCTTGAACAATTCGGGCGGTGTGAGGCCTTGCGTTGTCTTATTGCAAAATTAATCCTCTTGGGTGATGTTGAATAAAGGGAACCACAACAGGTCTCAACACTTCATCCCTGTAGCGCTGTGTATTTAGGTTTCCTCGGATGATAACCAGCCGTGTTGTAATCTGGCCACAAATGCCACCCCATTCCAAACGGGTGGGGGGCGGCCGGGTAGCCTGGTGGTTAAAGAGTTCGCTCGTCATCCAGACATGGGTACAATGGGTACAGCCGTGATATTGCTGGAATAAAACCAAACTCACTCTCTCACTCATTCCAAAAGGATGAACTTCTCTAATGCAATTTGGCGCCAGTCGCTCTCCCATTCATCGAAAAACTCGAACTCTGCCATCGTTCCTGAACAGACAGAACCGACTTTCATCTGTAAAGAGCACTCTCGCCCAGTCACGTCGCTGCCACCGACGTACAGTTCGAGCCCATTGCAGTCTGCGTTTACGGTGTAGACGGGTCAAGGCCATTCCACGGAAGGGTCGGTAGGCTCGTATAAACCAGCCGTACGAAGTCGTCGAAGGACTGTTCGCCGTCACACATCTGTTTCTGAGGTGAATCTGCCGGATGTAGCGGTCTTCGGCCGGTGTTGCCACTCTCGGTCTTTCCGATCTTGGCCGGTCTTGAGTCTGTCCTGTCTGTTGGTAGCGGATTATTAACTTGCTGAATGTTTTGGCTATCTGACGTAGTTTAGCCCCCATGTTGGCCATACCGATCGCTCTGTCTCGTTGCGCCTGTGTAAATCTGGGCATATTCTTGGTGGTTTTTTGCTTACTGAATGCCTGTTCTGTCCAATTACAACGTCGGTATTTATGCCACAATGACGCACGTGCATTTGGACCAATGTCTTAAAATCACGTTTTGCACGTTTTCAACAATGCATGATTTGGAAAGCTGTGTTCGAAAATCTGCGTTGTGGTTGTGGTCATATTGCATTTGGGCGAATGTTTTCAGCGGGGGTTCAAACCTTTACCAGCTTTTTTGCTTTTTATACAACTATTTTTAAAGTGAAAACTTTCTTTTGCCCGGTAGTTAAGTATGTCAGGTGTGAGTGAGTGAGTGAGTTGGGTTTAACGCCGCTTTTAACAGTATTCCAGTTATATCGCGGCGTGTCAGCTTAATGTGGGAGGAAAGCCCGAAGTGATGCAGGTCTCTGACGTTGACCACTTCGAACTTGCCGAACAAGGGTGGAATGACTGGGCTCGATCGTAGCGCCACCAGTGGCTATTACCAGTTACGTCCATTTTAAGCCTCTCCTATGGACCAATCAGATTCCACCTCTCGTATCACTTCAAACAAAATAGTGGCGCCCAGTCAGGACGACCTGATCTATAATCAAGATCTATATTGTCTAAAAATGGGTCATACATCGCTAAATGCATCAAATCACGTGAGCACCTTGATTAAAAACATGAAAAGATTTGGAAATTATCTGCTGACAAATGCATAGACTCGTTAGTCCAGCCAAAATGTGACCCCATAATACCAGCCTAGTTCGGCAAGTGGGGAAACTGAACTTTTATAGTAAGTTAACGCCCTTGCCTCGGGATGATGGAGATAACTGGAGTACTCCTCAAAGTAGCGTTACACCGAACTCACGCTTATCACGTCAACAAGCAATGTTGCAATGTATTAGTTTTACAGCATATTCCGGGTAGCCTACTGGTTAACGCGTTCGCTCGTCACGCCGAAGACAAGGGTTCGATTCCAGACATGGATACAATGTGTGAAGCCATTTCTGGTGTCTCCCGTCATGATATTGCTGGAATATTGCTTAAAGCGGCGTAAAACCAAACTCACTCACTCGCCCACTATAAAACAAGCAAGAAGTGTCTTCTGGGATTCCATTGTGGGGTGATGTAGGCATGAATGATATCATGACAATACTAATTGTCCACTAATGGAATGGTCTGGATAGCTCTCATCAGCGATATAGTGATTCCACCAGTGACATTCAAATGTATAATGTCTGTGTGCAGAGCTGCCAGTGTAATGTCAGAAGTGAATGGCATTACGTAACGGAGAACATACGAGGAACTGTCGGTTTGTGAACAGGAACAGCCCGGTTGTGGTGAAGTGACTCTTATTCACGAGCAGTCAGCAGGTATGTTCTCTAATTTATTCCCCTTTTCTCACACTTAAAATACATCCCCGCTTTTAGACTTTGACAAAATATTTCTGTGTGGAATATATTTGACCAAAAAACCACTTTGTTGTACGTATATATACTGTGTGAGTCGCCTTTGCCTCCTGCGCGAGCAAAATGTTGACGATCGGGATCATGTAAAGTGTTGAAGGGCCAAGTTTCGTCGCGATTTTGTCTTTAATAGCATGGCACAGGCTCTTGTTCAGTTCAGTGCCGCATTGCATTGCCAGATGACCATGTATCTGTTTGTGTTTAGGATTTCGCATTTTTATAGTCAGACCCTGTGCTGCGCGACCGCAATTTTCCCACAACGTTCTATTTAGAGTGAGTGATTTGGGTTTAACGCCGCTTTTATAGTATTCCAGTTATGTGACGACGTGTCAGCTTAATGTGGGAGGAAAGCCCCAAATGATGCAGGTTTCAGACGTTAACCACTTATTTCCTGCACTTGTAGTCACTGCACAAACGTTTTTTTGTTTTGTTTGACGCCTTGTTGGTATTTATTCTCCTCTGGTGGGCGTATAAACAGTGTTTATGTTGTTCTCGTTATTTTATATGTTTGTTTTGACATATGCATGGAACTCCTTTTCTGTACAATTAAGGCGATGAAACCCTTGCCAAATTCATAAGAAATGAGTTGATTGTAAGATTCCGACCACATCATGAACACGAGTTTATGAATCACTATCAGAAAGTGATGATACAAATGTTTAAGAAAAGGCAAGCGTATTCTGCCTCATCGGCGGCACAAGTCACAAACGGGAACACATGGTACAACAGGGAATTGCATCGGACATCATTCTTGCTACTGATGCGTCAAACATGTCTACTATACACCTTTTATGAAGCTTGACTGTGCCCTTGGACGTTGTAACCTTGATCAAACAGCTTCTTAGCACGAGTCGTATGAATTCCCATAGGTACAATAAAATATTGCCTTGTCTCAAAACGAAACTGCAAACGGCAAATAGTTCAAGGCCCAAAGACGTGCTATGTGGAAGAGGGCCTGCGTGATGACGCTAATGAACCTCGGTTATACGAACAGATCCTGAGGGGATTCCTTTAAACTAAGTCTCCTGACCACACGTTATCGCTCTCCAACAAGCATATGTTTTATTGACCCCTAGACATGCAGTTAAATTTCTAGTTGTCCCTAATAGAAACTGTAGTCCTCCACATATCTAGCCTTGCCTATTAGGAGGATAGAATTACTACACATCCATGCACTTATCTTTCAGTACAGCCTTGGAGCAAGACTTATTTACCCCCTGCACTTTTTCAGCCACGGCTCACACCAGTGGAAAGTTTATATTTAGATACAGAGTTGATACAACATCTCTGCTGCCACCAAGGCTTGCACACAGGTCGACTCACGCCCGGAGCTTCAACGCCCACCCCACGAGCCTCCTGTCCTCGCCTTTCTATTGTGATTTCAACTGTTCTCGTATCAAACATAATACGGCTGAAAATAGGCATCAATAAAAAAATGATAGCTTTAAAAGAACCGAGTTCCAACAAATTGAAATTCTACCTAGCGATTGGTATCTTTCTCCCACGAGTTATGTTGAAATGTCTGTTTATTCAGCAGTTTGAAAGGGACGTGAATATGTGAAATTTGTCTTTCATTTTGACCCCAATATCATTAAAGCTGCAGGAAGCAACACTGTTGCCTTGGCATGTGTTGTGTGCACAGTCAGGTGATTGATCACTTTGTTTGTTTGTTTGTTTGCTTGTTAGTTGTTAAACGCCGCACTTAGCAATAAATATTCCAGCTATTTGACAGCGGGATAATTGTGTAAAGCAATGTAGCAAATATCATCAAGGTGCTTATGCAGTTATTAATTAATGGATTATATCCCAGTAATTTGTGCGAGTAAGTAACGTGACGACTCCAATGTATTCACGTTTGCTATTTCTCTTCACAATTACAACCACATTACAAAGTGCCAAGCCTGCAACGTTATGTATCGTGTGTGTTTTTCAATGACCGGTGGTGAATAATTCTGGGTTGTTATCTCTTTCCCATCGTGGCGCATCCCTGCCGCAGAGTGAATCAAACAGCAGCTGCCTCCGTCTGTGCTGGAAGCTGGCGTTTATGCTGCAGAGGAAACACTAGGTAAGTAATACGTGCAGTAAATATAAAACATGTTTTATTTGTCACACAGTTTCACTAACCAGCTTTTGTCTGTGTTGTAGAGTTCTTGGAGATGGATGTGAAGACGGTGCTTCTCTTGGTGGCAGGGATGTTAGGTAAGGACAATCTTTCAGAGTGTGCGAATTGAATGTAACGCCGCATTGAACAGTATTTAAGTTATGTCAGGGTGTATCATTTTGGTCTAAGACGTTCCCCGATTCGGTGGATGCAAACAGTGCGAAATAATGCAAAGAGACCAAGAAGCATAATCAGGGGAATCTCGATTCTGACCTACGATCTACGGATCCTCTCACGGTCAAGGGGCGCAACTCATGGGTCATTGGACCGAGCGAGCAATTGCCTCAGAATGATGAAGGGAGCGTGTCATGTCCTTGTTTCACAGTTAAGGTGGTCCCTGATATTGTTCTGTTGTTTCCCATGTCCCGTTTATCCCTGATATTGTTCTGTTGTTTCCCATCTCCCGTGTACCCCTAATATTGTTTTGTTGTTTCCAATCTCCCATGTACCGCTGATATTGTTCTGTTGTTTCCCATCTCCCGCGTATCCCTGATATTGTTCTGTTGTTTCCCATCTCCCGTTTATCCCTGATATGTTTCTGTTGTTTCCCATCTCCCGTGCATCCCTGATATCGTTCTGTTGTTTCCCATCTTCCCTGTACCCCTGATATTGTTCTCTGTTGTTTCCCATCCCGCGTGTATCCCTGATATTGTTCTGTTGTTTCCCATCTCCCGTTATCCCTGATATTTTTCTGTTGTTTCCCATTTCCCGTGTATCCCTGATATTGTTCTGTTGTTTCCCATTTCCCGTGTATCCCTGATATTTTTCTGTTGTTTCCCATCTCCCTTGTATCCCTGATATTGTTCTGTTGTTTCCCATCTCCCGTGTATCCCTGATATTGTTCTGTTGTTTCCCATCTCCCTGATATTGTTCTGTTGTTTCCCATTTCCCGTGTATCCCTGATATTTTTCTGTTGTTTCCCATCTCCCTTGTATCCCTGATATTGTTCTGTTGTTTCCCATCTCCCGTGTATCCCTGATATTGTTCTGTTGTTTCCCATCTCCCGTATATCCCTGATATTGTTCTGTTGTCAGACTCTGCAGCCTGTAATCCCAAACACAGCCTGGTCACGGATTTGTTTCGCAACTACGACAAACGTGTTGAACCTTTCGGGCCTAACGAGACACTGAACGTGTGGATGGACGTTACCCTGGTCGAGGTGTCCGACATCGTAAGTGCACTTAATATTCATATTGCAGTATTGTCCCAGTAGTTAAAACTCAATTGTGATACACTTAGGTTGTATGTTGCAATGGTGTCGGTATGCTATGAGAAGCATCTTACTCTTCCAACATTCGAATTGACTTTCTCAGTACGATGTTACCATATCCTAGGTTTCTTAGGCTGCCAGGGGCATTGTTACTGAGTTAGTGGGGGAGCTGTGTTTAGTGTTCTATATAGCGTCATGATTGGATCTGGAACAAAGTGTATTTGCCGTTAAATTGCAAAAATTGTTTGTTTCGAATAAAATGAAAAGCAAAGTACTTTCTTCATATACGTTAATCTGCGGAGTAACGACATCATCATATTTCCTTTTCACTTATTGCAGGACGAGAGAAAGCAAGTGATGACGACAAATTGCTGGATAACTTTGGTAAATATGAGAGAGTGAATGAGTTTTACGCTGTTTTGATCAATATTCCAGTTATATCACAACGTGTCAGCTTTATGTGAGAAGAAGTCGAAAAAATGATACAGGTAGTGGTTCAAGTATACCACCTTCAACCGTTTTCCTGAAACACTCGAGCATGGGCTGACAAATCAAGGTTCATAATCAATCCAGGATTCGAACCAGAAATCATTGGATCCTTGAATATCATCATTACTTCACATGTTCTCCCATCAGCCGTTAATACACGCTTAATTGGGCGCTTTGGGTGTAGTCCCATTGTTTTATGCCAAACAAATCATGCCACGGGCTTGCTCCAGCGTGAAAGAAACTAGTGAGTGCCCTGTCCGACTTATGAGAGTTCAAGTCGCACAAACGGTGATATCGTAGTGCGACATGTGCTCTCCATCGATCTTCTCTGCAGTGTTCCATATCAGGCAGTAGTTGATTTTGCCTAAAATTCATGCACGGAAATTTATACACGACCTCATGTCATTAGTAACAATAGACACACGTCACTAGCGGCCGAGTGTATTGTGGTGTTTTCAAACTGTGAAGTGTTGTCGATGATCCTGGCTACGTTAGACCATTGGTACTGAGCAGGTTTATACACGATCTGTGATAATGAGAGTGTGGTGTTTTTAATGATCAGTATGGGTGTAATTGTACCAAAGTTATCTCAAATCCAGACTGTCTATTGAGCAAGACGTTTTATTTAGATTTTGGGGTTATAGTAAAAAACAGACACACTTCCATAATACTCTCTAAAATATATCACAAGTTTCAGGATAGTGGATCATGCATCTTTTTTCCAGAGATGGAGGGATGCATCATTGGCATGGCAACAGGAAGAACATGATAACGTGACCGACCTACGGATCCCATCCGATGCCATATGGACGCCTGACATTCGAATACATAACTCGTAAGCACCCCTTTGTTAGAAAGAGCTTTCATATTGATTAAAATATATCAGAAATAGTTGATGTTGTTTGTATTTGTATATACTAACACTGACAGAAAAAGTAAGTAAAGTTTCTTAAATTTGTTAGTGAAATGCACTGTCAACTCAGACACCAACGTGTTGGTAGACTTTAGTAACCACATATTATTTTGTTTACTCATTAGACTGGTAGATTCCCTATCCTAGATTAGTACAATTTACTACTCAGTTAGTAGAGATAACCATGGATCTTTCAAAGAACTGCTGGTTATAATGATATAATAATTGATCTTTACTAGTATTCTTAGTATATTCAATAAACCTGTAGTAATTGCGATCCAGGGTAGAACAGGTTTTCAGCAACCCATGTTTGCCGTAAAAGGCGTCTATGCTTGTTTAAGAGGCGGCTAACGGGATCGGGTGGTCAGGCTCGCCGACTTTGTTGCTGCATGTCATTGTTTCCCAATTGTGTGGATCGATGCTCATGATATCAGTCACTGAATTGTCTGATCCAGATTCGGTTATTTACTGACCGCCGTCATATAGCTGGAATATTGATGAGTGCAGCGTTAAACAACAAACAATACAATACATGTAGAAAGTTCCACGGCACTTTAATACAGTTTTGTTTCTGTGCTTTTGACAGTTGCTGAAAACAAGTACATAACAAATGACAACAGGTGAAAGATAACATAATTGTTTCTAGTTGTGTATGTGTGTTGTGTATGTTTGTTTACACGATACAGCAAAAAGTAATTGGCAGGTAAAAAAAGTAAACAAAGCTTGTTTTACACTGGCAAATGTAACCAACCTCCCATTGCGTACTTGGTATAAAGCTCATAGTTTTGTCTGTCATGACAAACTATCATCAGCAACTTTACAAAACCAGTGTATACCTAACACTCTGACTCATAAGTATCAAAATGTGTTGTGACGAAAACTGAAAAAAATCACAAACATTTCCGTATTTAACAAATGTTATATTTGGGATGACTCTTTCTTAGTAAAGTACAAATTCTCCCGTCCCGAACTCACACTGCCAGAGTGAGGCACCTAATCGCCAGCACACAAAGCCAGCGATTTAGCCAACTCAGCCACCAAGGCTTCCACACAAATGAAAATCCGACAACTAGTAGTCTAGATCACGAACGTTGTGTACCCCTCTGGCAAGTGTAAATTGCCACCGCTCCCATGGTCGAAAGTTATGAATACTCAATGTCATTTAGAAAATGATCAAATGTAACAAATGTTATATTTGGAATAACATTCTCTTAATAAAGTACAGATTCTCGTACTTTTGGGGTTGAGTCCCGTTCGGGATGTCAGGACCCTTGCCGTATTCATAAGAAATCTCTGGAAAAAGCAGAGTCGATTGTATGGTTGTATGTGTGTATGAATCACAACCAAATAGTGATGACACTGGGTGTCACACATCAACGGGCCCTCCAGATCATCAATGTTCTAGGAAGTTCTGTTCGGCCCGAATTATGTCAGTAACTGAACCACAATCAATCGGTACCTTCCTTCAACATGAGTTCTGTCACAGATCAACAATGATAGTAAGCTTAAACACTGCTAACAAAATTATTATTTGATGTGAGATGAAACCCGTCATTCCATTTAGCAATGCCGTATTTTGCAAATATGTTGGAACATTAATTAGAGTTAACAGCGCTAAAACTGGTTCAAAATAAGCTACGTGAGATTACCCAGAGTAAAGGTTTTTTTTAAATGGTATAACAATGATGCATACATTTTCGCGGCACTTATTATATATGAAGAACTTATATGTTTTACCTTGAGTGTGATAGGCTATAAAATATATTAAAAGATATTTTGTCAGCAGCTTCAGTTTCTCCTTCTTTCCGCAAAACGGTGAACGTGACACTGCCTAAAGCGGAAGTGAACAATACTATTAGTCTTGGTGCCAAAACTGAAATATATTACGTTCTCCCTACAGCAGTATCATGCAGTCTACCAGGCAGCATAGTAAAATCGCTGTTTACTAACCTTCTGGCCACATGATAGTAAACGGAATATGCTTATACATCATGATAACAACCTGTAAGTTATTACTAATGTTACTATTTCTGTTATCTTATACATTTAGCAATAATCTCAATTATCGATAAGGATTGCAGTTCTTTCATAATAGGAAGATACATGCTCCTGGAAAAATGTAAAGCACCACTCGTGCTTCATTTCTTTCGTCATATATCCTGAAGAACCATGCGTCTCTTGGAAATATCTTTATATTTATGACACTAATCTTACATGGATAGCATAACACCACTGATTCCTGCTGAAGGTTGGTGCAAGAACACTGTGTGTTTCTCCACGCGGGGGCCTATACTGGGTTCGTTATATGACAGGATGCAAAGGTGGAGAGGAATCAATTACTTGTCATAATACAGCTGCAATAGCTACCATTAGGTTGGAAACTACTGTGTGCTTGGTCATTCACCGGTTTCAAATAACCACCTCCGATCGAGATCCGACGGCATACGTTCTGTGGCTGGTTCTCAATCTTCCGATTACAAAACTCTGCATTGAAAAGGCACGCTTATCCCCCGATATATGAACCACTCTATCACTGTATGTCAATACGAATAAGTCACAAATATGTTTTGTCTGGGAAATGTAGAAATTTCAATTTTGTGTTGATATATAATACAGTAGGCGGTGCTTATCCTTTTTGTCACTCATATGTATGTATGTGTGTCTTGTGAATGTTCGTGTAAATATGCATGTGCGTTCCTTTTTCTTGTGCATGTGAAATGTCAGATGCTGAATCATTTTGGAAAGACAATGATTTAAATTTGAAATAATATCTTGTGGAATACCTAAACACATACTTTCATTACTGCCCAATGTTGAGAAATTGTTCAAAGCCCCTTAAACTAGTTACAGTGACAGATTGAAATTGTTTTGACATGTTTTATTCATTTATCGTGCAGAGTGGAAGTAAACAACCAAATGTCGCCCAGCGAGCACAACAACGCAATAGTACATTTAAGTGGAGAAGTAGTAGTGATTTATCAGGTCATCTTAAAAACGTTGTGTACAATTGACGTTGCCTACTTCCCCATGGATCAACAACACTGTCAGATGAGGTTCATGTCGTGGACATCCAGTGGTGATCAACTAAATCTCACAAATGGTGAAAGTGGAGACGGAGGTTTAAATGACTACATTGGCAATGCGGAATGGGACATGGTCTCCTTCAAGAAAAGTCGTCAGGTCACATATTACTCATGTTGCCCCGAGCCCTACCTCACATTGACGTACCGAGTGGTCGTGAGACGGAGGCCATTGTTCTTCCTAGTTAATCTAATGATGCCCTGTCTAGTCATCACGTTGGTTGCTCTGCTGGGACTTCTGGTGCCGAATGAATCTGGAGAGAAAATATCCATAGGAATCACGTCTCTCCTGGCAATGATAGCATTGTTGATTGTTATCTCGACAATATTGCCACCGACGTCTTTAGCGATTCCTCTTATTGGTATGTTTTTCCTTCCTTAATGTTTTTTAAAAGATTGCGTGAGTAAGTTGAGTTTAACTCCGCAGTACTTCAGTTATTTCATGGCGTAACAGCTTCAGGGACTTGGCATTGGGTATTCGGGTAGTTGGCTGAGATTTAATCGCAACACCGAAAATGTCCAAGAACATGGTTGCAAATATGACTGACAAAAATCTTGAAACAAAATGGAACAACTTTGTAAAGGGCGCCAGATGTGAACGCTCATAAGAGGTCCAATGGTAAATAAATTACTCTCCTTTTTTACGCAGATGTAGTCTTATCTAAAGCAAATAGAAGGTTTATTATTGAGAACTTGTTTTTACAAAGGAAACTTGTAAAGCACAAAATAGTGTCATGATTGTCAATCATGTTTACATTATCGGTGTCAAAAACAAACAAAATAAGGCTTTTTAACCTAGAAGTTAGCTACATGTATGTATCATTTGAACACGTATTCGTATTAATCACAATTCACAATTCACAAGTCAGGTGTAATCTTGCAGTTTTAACCGTGCTGCTCCATCAAAAAGTAGGTATTTTCGCTGAAAGAGCATTATTTCTCTTTCGTGGGAAGGTGGTAAAGAAACTGTTAATTTTTTAGCGTTTACTAAGGGCTTCCTTCTCAGTGGTCCTGACAGTGTTTTGGCTGATCTGAGGCAACTGGTATCTGTGAGGAAAACGAAGGTTGACAAATTCTGAACCTCAAATAGAAGGAGTTGCGTAATAGGGCAAATATGTAAATGTGTTGTGGACACTGCATGAAGTTGTAGGGGAATATCCACACAAACCTGAGTTAACTGAGCAAATCGTTTCACTGTTATGAGTAAGTAAAATATGCAAGATTCTGTGAGAAGCCGTAGCATCAAAAGCCTTAAGACACAGAAAGGTTCTTCCAATGATTTGTGACTATGTCACATTAGTTGGAAAGGTTATGGCCGCCATGTTCTTCGATGACGAGGGTGTCAAAATGGTAGACCTTATATGAACATATTTTGTCTGGCGTTTACGAGATGAAATTAAAACTAAGACACGTGGGAAGCTGACAAAACGTGGTGTGCTCTTGCACCAGGACAATGCACCAATTCACAAATTAGTTATTGCCATGGACAGCCAAAAGAAGAACTTTTACGAAAGTGTGATGCATCCGTCCAACATCGTTTGCAGGTGTTTATCATTATCAATGGAAGGGAGGTCGTTTGAAAAATAAATCGTTTTTAGGTTTCTCTATTCGCGAATCAGTCAACCCTCGTATCACATTCCCGCACTTGGACTAAAAATTAATGTGTGAATCGTCTTATGCCATCATGGAGAAAAAACCATGTTCTCTATGTCTGAAAAATATGAAGATTTGAAGCAAATAAATTATTGCAAGGTGTGTTTTTTAATAACATATATTTAGGCTCCTAGTTTAAGTTTAAGTTTATGTTTAAGTAAAATTACAAGTTGGTTTTGCAAATGTAACTGAATAAAATACCAAGTCTCGGGACGCAATCCCATCCTGAAAGTATTATCAACGCAATACCGTACGTGTGTTTCTGAATACGAAACATGCTTGGCATTATCACGAACAAAAGACAGCGTTGTCGCTATCTTATGAAAAGACAACCATTCCAACGGGACATTTTTGCACCCCTTTTTCTGTTTGGCTTTCTCTAATTCACCAAAATCGCCGTGCCTGGATTCCCTGGAAAATATGCACGAGATCTTTATAAAAAACGAATAAAGTAGATGTTGATGCCTTGACTTATGAAGGTGTTTAACCAAATTAAATCAATATTTACTGTATTGTTAAGGTCACATACTTAAAATGTTACTTTTGACGAGGGCAAGCGTGACCCAGTAGTCTAAGTTTCGCAATGCGCTGTACAGAGTTGAATCCCTAACTTGTGCCAGAAACCTATGATAATAGGTTTGAATCCCAGATTAGTTTGTTTTGGTTTCTCAGCACCATACCCGTGCTTGTGGATTTCACCAAAGCGGTAAATCCCTTAGACCTCCATCACTCTTTGCTTGCCACCCAATTCCAACTGACGAACTCATTCACTTAAGAGACGAATGTATGTAGGATGTCATGGGCAGGATACATTAAAGTCCTTTAGAAGTTTGACAATGGGTGATGGAGATGACACTTTAGAACCCCGTATATAGTCTCAGTTGCATCTAGACTTGATAGACGGATCTTTTATTTGTTTAACTGTCGATACACATGCGTAGATATAATGTGAAAAGAACATTACTCTTCACATTTTCTTCTCGATGAATTACATTACTTTTATCTGGCTTGATGACAACTGTATTTATACATACATCAGATGCGCGAACAGTTGTATTGCTGATACGGCAAAATAACATAGATGGTGAAATAATTAAATGAATCTAAATCTATATACCTCGAAAAGCATGAGCTGTTGATAGAAAACAAAAGAAACTTTCGAATTTATTATTTTATTTAAAAAATAAGTATCTTAATTATTCATAAGCATGAGTAATTGACAAAATAAAATAAACGTTTTAAAAGTTATCTACTTTCAGCGCTATACAAATATATTTCGCAACATTATCCGAAATTACAAATGAGTGTACACAAAGTCACGGATCTGTACATCCATCCTCAATATCACATACATTTTATTGATTGGTGTCTGTCGTTTTGGTAAATGCCGAAGTGATTTATAACAACAGTTAGCTGTCCTCAGAACCTTTCTTTGACTATCAATAGTCTGTCCTTACATTGTGTTCCTCATAATAAAGAAGTTGACATCCATAAATTCAATTATCACTTCTAAATGCCTTACAAAGACGTGAGTTTGACATTAGAGTTTGATATAGTTTGTTATTGGATGCCCTCTGGTCTGGAAAAAGTTTGTTATCAGCATGCCCTGATTTCGAAATTGTTTTTCATCATGATTCCTGTATATTCGATAATCAGAATTCCCCCAAAACACACACACACACACACACACACACACACACACACACACACACACACACACACACACACACACACACACACACACACACACACACACACACACACACACACACACACACACACACACACACACAACCTTATATTTTTATGATTGCATAATATCATGCTCTCGAATAAAATATCCTTAATGTGAGTTATTCTCCCACAGGTAAGTACTACGCTGTCAGTATCCTCATTGTGTCGCTGAGTACAGGCCTGGCCGTGCTCACTCTCAATATTCATCACCGAGGACCGAGAGGACACAAACTGCCAAGGCTTGTGAAAACTGTGTGCTTCAGTTTTCTTGCCAGGATCCTGTTCATCAAAATAGACGTGCCAGAGTCTGACGACCAGGAAATGGTATGTTTGATGCTTATTTGATTCTTTGATACTGTCGGCAATAGTTTTTTTGGGTGAAAACTGTTATTTTATCATTAGGCTTGTGTTCAACAATCCTCATGTGCGTTCTATTAAAGGCTCGGGTTTCCCTCTGACATGCTCTCTATTTCCATACTTCACACACAGGCACGATATGCCGCTTATGACGAGGCCAACCATGCAGACAAACCTGCACCCACCCTGAGCCTGACGGAGGGACAGCAGGCTGGCGGGACTAACGTGGTGGATGTTCTCAACCGGCTACTCCACACAGTAGAGCAGGCCATAGGGCTGCAGAAGAGGAGGGTCGCCAAACAAGACAGCCTTGACCAGATTACATATGAATAGAAGCAGCTGGCCATTGTTCTCGAACGCGCTCTGACAATCATATTTCTCTTCGTCACTGTTTTCACGACGGTTGCAATGTTTTCCTAGACTCTAGACGTGGGTGGAACCTGGTGGTAAAGTGTTCGCTTGTCAGACAGCAGACCTGGCTTCTATTCCCCGTATAGGTACGACGCTTATTTTGTCCAGTGATTATATCACTTTCTTGGTTTCAAGTGCCCATATTGTGTTGTGTGTGTGGAGTACTTGGTGTTCCTTGTTGCTGGTATGTTGCTGAAAGAGGCGTACAACACCAATGACCCTAGCAACCATTAGGCTTGCATGGCGACGGGCACCAGTATCATTTGTTCGGTGCTCGGAGGTTGCCATAGGGTAGCTGTATTTTCTTCAGAAATTCGCTTTAGGATTTGTATATCGTCACTTAAATATGCATGATGGAACTAAGTACATTAGAAAAGTGGGTATTGTTTTTTGTGGTCACTATTTACATGTTATTTCGATTTGCAATGTTTGATTCGTAAACTTTATGACTGATTATTTTGAAGTTGCGAACATTTATTATCTAGATCATTCAATTCAATTCAATTATTACAAGTTATATTGGATATCCTTTCTCACCTGACTGAACATCGAGTGAGCTTATGTCGCAGCCTGTTTGCCCGTGGTCCGCCATCAACATCGTCACATCGTTTCATGGTTCGTCCTATCCATGACGACCCCACATTTGTTCAAGAGGTTCGAATCCAGTTTATAGCTTTTTATGGCCACTACTCAGCTCTTTTGTGTTCAAAATGGAATACAATTTGCTACATGTTTAATTAATGTTTGGGCTGAACATATGTTTTCCGTGTTTCGAAATAGTTTTGCCATGGTATTGACCTTATTGTTTTGGCAATGTTCTGATATTTGCGTAAAATGAATATTTGACTTCTGTAAACTGGAATACCCATACAAAAGAAGCTGAACTTTCATGTATGTTTTCTCTCACAGTGACATCATAATTTGTTCAAATCCTTGTTGGATTTTAGTGTCAGGGTTTAGTCCTGACTGTATATGTAGAAAGTATTTGAATATCAATGCTGACGGAAACTGTTGTTTAGATGTCCGTTCCCGTTACAATTATTACATATGATGTCAACAATGTCATTATTCAGCATATTTTAATAACCTGTCACAGTCAAAGTGTTAAATGTGATTCACTCAGGCAGTTTACAAAATGCCTACACATTTCAGTTATTTTACAAATTGACTGATAAGTTGATTTATGTGACTGATTGACTGAAGTGAAGATTATTAAGAAGCTGAAAGGGTAATTGTGTTCTGCATCGAGCTGACCAGCCCTGCCACAATAGTCTCTGCAACCAGAACGTCTCCAAGCAAACGCTTTCCATCACAAGTTGCTGCATGACATTGGCGTTTCGTTCCTCACCAGGAACATTAATCCTTGATTTCGCAGTTTGAATGGTTGAGCCACAATTAAAGCATATGTGTCAGCTTTCTGAACCATGGCTGTCTTTTCCACAACAGTGCTACTAGCGTGGTGTGGTCTTCCTGGGCCTCAAGCATGTCAAGGATCTGCGGATCATCCTGAATGGTGGATGGACAAAATGGGTCAGCTGTTCCCAGTCCTGTTGGGCTGACGCATCTATGCCTTATGTTGAGGGGTCTAAGACCCTGCTGTTGTACAAAGGTAGCTGTGTGCACGTGTTGACTATTGAAGCTAACCTGTCCACGCGGTGAGGTTCCTACATGTGATCAAGAAGCTTGAAAAAGTTTGGCTGCAGTTGCCATTCGTACTGCGGGTTCAGCTGGGGTCAGCTGTCTGCTTCTTCACTGTCAATGCCCTGCAATACTTGGCGGTTATGTTTAACCCTAACCCCAAAGCTCGTCCCCATATGCCCGAAACTATTTGGTTCAGCTTTCAGCAAGGGCTACCCGGGAGGTTTATTGTTAGCCACTGTCACTGTAGTCTTATTATAGCATTTAGAAGTGAGTGATACACAATTTCTTTATCATAAGAAACACGTTGTTTCAGAGTATATGATTACTCCTTCATCAGGTAAATGCATTTTAGGAAGCTTAGAGCTTACATATTTACATGTAAAAACAACCACCCAACCCATCAACCTCGATGACTTTAATGGATATTTTGTTGCTTGGTTGCCTTTTCTTCTACAAAAGCCTTTGAATTATTACAAAATGAAATTACTACACAATAACCACCACCACCCACAACATCAACAACAACAACATCACTACAACTACTACTACTACTACTACTTGAGTTAAGTTGCGTCCCCCGGGCACGCCATAAACCTATGGTCGTGGGTTCGAATCCCGGTTCGCCCCGTTTATGTTTCTAGGTTTGTCCGCACCATACCTGTGCTCGTGGGTTTCACCAAAGTGGTAAGCGTATGAGAACTTCATCACTTCGGGCTTTCCTCGCACACTAAGCTGACAGAACGTGATATACCTGGAATACTGTTCAGAGCGGTGTTAACCCCAACTCATTCATTCTTCTACTACTACTTCTACTATTACTACCACAGCTACTGTCATATTTGCAACAACAACAACAACAACAACTACTACTACTACTATCACCACCACCTTCGCTCCTACCGGCACCACTACTACTACTACTACAACTACTATTCGTGCTCGTGGGTTTCACCAGAGTGGTAAACGTTTGAGACCTGCATTAATTCGGGCTTTTCTCCCACACTAAGCTGACACGCCGAGATTTAGCTGGAATACTGTTCAGAGCGGCGTTAACCCAAACTCATTTATTCACTACTGCTACCGCTACCAGTACTACTACCATAACCACTGCCACTACCACTACTACGACCACTACCACTGCCAGTACTGTCACGTTTGCTACAACTGCTACAGCTTAAAGCTTTCGATCGTCACATCCAAGGTCCTCACTGCCTGATATTCCTTTATTATGTTCCACCATGCAACTGAAGAGAAGGTTCTAACAAATAAAACCTGTTCCTGGTTATGGCAATGAGGGACATATTATTATATTTCTGGTAATCATTATTTTTATGTGGCACGCATGTCCCAGCCGTCAAAGGCGCCGCAATTAGCTGTGCAGAAATACACCCTTGTGCGTGTCGGAAACCTTTAAATACATGTTCGAATCCCAGTTTCTGACTGATAATGATCTGCTAAGTTTTTCAGCAACATACCGGCACCTTCATATTTTGGTTCTTGTCAAGTTGACACGCCGGGATAAAACTGAAATACTGTTCATAGCGGCGTTAGCATATTGCACTATGACGTACTGTTTGTTGTATGCTGGTCATATGGTTTGAATATTGCTGATGGTGGTGGAATCAAACGCCATATCAACTGTCAACCATAATATTCAGAGAAAGTTGACATACTGGGTTCACGTAACTATGGATCTTTGTCGTAACCCAACCCTGAAAACATTGTATATACTGAAGCAATAATTGCTTTTTCTTGGTTTGTAGATAAAGCCGGCTGACTTTGATTGTGATGCTTAGTCTTGTCTTTGTAAGGAAATAGTTGGTGTTGTCAAAAACATTTGCCTGTTTGAGGTGGGTTTTCAGTAGTTTTGTCTCATTTCTAGTCACTATAGTATCTGATTAGTCAATTGCTCTTTGTGTTTGCAGGGTTTCTTTGCTTCAACTTGAATGTACACTAGTTGTTAAACCAGTGTATTCAATGCTATACATTATTATGATATGTTGAAATTTACTTTAATTCAGATGGGTATGCCATCTTTATTTATATCCTATTTTATAGAGAATTTTATTATCAAAACATATTCATTTTTTGGCAGACGTTCTTTGTTACCAAATGTGATCTATTTTTTAATTGTCAGTTCCGATAAGTATATTGATGTATGTTTTGATTATGATGTGGATACATGACATAACACCTTTTGTATTGATTGAATTTTCAGGATCTCTAAGCATTGATTATTGATCTACATTGCTTTGTCCTGGGAGTGGACAATTCAAACTATAAGCACAATTTAGCTGATGTGTAATGATGGAATCAGAATAAGGATAGTGTTCTTAATTGGAAGATATGGTTATGTTTGTGTATCAGGGTTTTGAAAAAATGATAAATAACTACAGTTGACCTTACAGATTTAGGATTTTGATGTGGCCCTGCATGTGAAATCTAAATGTAAGCCTTTGCAGCACTAGGCATATATACATTCTTTGATCCTAAAATTCACTTTTATTACATGTTTTGAGGAAAATGATTAGAAAAGTGAGAAATAGGACTAAGACCTTAATAGAAATGATTACTTGTGTTGTACCCAAAGCTGCGTTTTGCAGTTGTGTTCCTGACAAGGAAAGATATTTTGGCAACCATTTGTGACAGATACTCCCTGTGATCATCTAGTCACCACCACTGTGTATGCTAAAAGTGATTGTTGCATCTGCACATCATAAATTGGTTGTGACTGTAAGAGTGTCTGTAATTTGTGTACTCATTTGAATCTTCAAAGAATAAAAGTGTACATGAATAAAATAATAATAATAATATTCAGAGTAAGAAGCGTGGCAAAATTAACGATCGTGACACTGATGCGAACTATCATTAATTTGACGATCTTAACGCTAAGATGATCGTAGATCCTATACTTTAACATAGGCTTGCGGTAGTTGATGGTAATCAGTAGAATAATGTGCAATTATTATTTCATGATGTTTTCCGGTGTTGTGTTCATACTTATTCACAGTTACAAATCAATATTATGACATTTGTACACGCTTGGCATGTATTAATAGACTAGAAGTAAAGAACATTCAAAACTATTGTCGTATTGTGCGACGATAAACAACAAAACGCACACACCTAGTAGTTCAAATATTCGTGTCAATGGAAATTAATTTTTCACACCTTTCGTATTTTATCCCGTGGGGATCTTGCTACAATATTATTATTATCAACAACACCAGTAACTGGAAAGTTGAGTAAAATTCTGTTTAATCTAACATGCCAATTATTTACTTATTTTCTAAATAAATGTCTTCTATAACTTGACAGCGTTCTTCTGTTTTCTCTGGGAGTGATGGGGTAGCTTCTTATTAAGTGATCGATAAGTGCTTAAATTCTTACTTCCTTATTTCCTTTCATCTGAAGAGGATTGTTTTATCACAACAGCTAAATATGGAAGGACAATCAACAGGTAATGTTTACAACTTTAATATTGTCATGGATGTTGTATTTTTGGGTATATCGTAACTGGAGAATATGGGACATTGATTGAAGCGTCTATAAAATAGTTTGAACTTGATGGTGGTGGTGTTGAAGTGAAAGGACGACATGGGCTAACAAAAGACCTATTTGCGGCCAACACTTAAGAAGAATTGTATTATTGGCCTGAGGCCTTTCAGTGTGCAATTAAACTTATCCTTAACTTAATAAGAACCACAAGGTATCAAATCGAAAAAAACAACAACACGACATCATTTAAAAAACATAAAAGAGAGGTTACCACAAGTAATATTCATTTGGATACACGTATACATTGGACATTAATGATGGGGAAAAGCGAACAAACAGGAATAAGATCTGCTTCATAATAACAGTTAAAACCTTGAGCAAACACTTTCATTTCTGAAACATGAAATAATCAATAGAAAAGTAGTAGATCAACCTGATAAAATGTTAACATGATTTCTTATCATAGAACTAAATCCGTTTCAGTCATTTGAGAGCATATTTAAATTACATAATATTTGCAAGATGAAGAGACAAAATAGAAAACTGGCCTTTGCATGGATCTTTGGACCCAGATTTGAATCTAATGCAAATGTGACATCAACTACAATGTACTTATACAGCACTTCTCCGATTTTGTCTTATGTTGTTATGCCCAGAGCATTTAATTAGGCAGTTCAGGCGTCTTCAAATTGCAATGGCCACATTCAGAAGCGGTCGTCTTATCACTGATACTTCTGTAGGCATTGAGCCCACAGTTTCCAGGTCGGAGTCATTAAAGAATGACCTGGTCACGCCTTTTGCGACTGCGAAATGTATGACCAGTTTGTAATATTTTGGCCGGGGTGTACCCCCACTGTGCCCACTTTTGAATTTAGATCTTATAACAACAAAGAATTAAGGGATTAGGCCGTATCACCATCAGGGTTGCAGTGCCCACTATGCCACACTGCGTGTATAGACCCATGAATATACTAGTATATTGAAATAAGCATACACAAGAATGTAAATAATTATTTATTATTGGCAAAATAAAAACATATTGTACAACATTCCAAGCACAATTATGTGTACAAAATCATTCTACATGTACATGTTATTTCCTTCATTTCATGATATGCACAGAATCAGCAAACTGTTGAATGGTCTTGGTGCCGTTCTGCAGGTGGTGCTTCTCTATCTGCAGTCTGTCATCAAGTTGTCTGTCCTTTCGCTTTCTTGGACGAATTTTCCCACTAGCTGATGGATGGTCGACTCGACGTACGCTTGTTCGGCTTTGACAAATGATACAATCTTGAAGATATTTGGATGAGGCGCACCCAATACCTTCGCAATCTTGCTTCTGGTTACCTTCTACCCAGTAGTCGGTGACGTAAACTTCAGGACTTGGTCATCCTCCAGAGGGGCGTCTTCAAGGGCACTCAACCACACATTTTCAATATGCTGGACTGGAACATTTGGAAGGGAACCAGCTTGCCTCACGAAACGATAAAAAATCTGATCTCTTAAATATGTAGTCTGGAGACCCAACTTCTGCACATTTCGCCAAATGCACTGTCCGAAGTGGAAATAACAGCCCTTCAATTCGGAAGTTGGGAACACAGTTCTTAGGGCATTCTGGGTGGATGATTCAAAGTCTGTGAAGATTGTTTCAGGCATCAGTTGCAGGGCAGTCATCTCGGTCGTCTTCTCGCTCAGTACAGTGAAGAAGCTTGTATATGTTTGTTGTGTTTTGTCTGATAATAGGGCGTACACAAGGGGGAACATCTTGTCTTCAACAATGCATGTATGGTGTAGATCTGACTGAAGAGTTGTGGACACATGTCAAATGTCCCATCGCAGAAGATGGTCTGGGCCTGAGAGAGATGTCGTAGGTTGGAGACAGTGGTGAAGATCAGCATGTTGTCGTCTTGGTGCAACAGGAAGTCATCTATGGATGATGTCTTCGTGTAGGTGTCGTTAAGCTGGATATCGGAACGCTGTTTGGGAAGGGAAGGTCTTGTTTTGGCCCTGGATCGGTACAGTGCATCATGTTGCTGCATCAGACCGTAGACCTGTAATGAAAGAATAAGCAATTTATAACTTTTGTTAAAAATCACAAAATGATCGAAGTAAGA